CCCACGCGTGCCTCCAACGTCAATATCCACCGGATTCAATATTTATTATATGGGAACGCAAACCGAATAACGCCTGCCATGCCCTGATCTGCCCACCCACCCCACGTTGGTCCATTGCGTCTATCACGTGATCCGTTTAGGGAGCCCGGAAGGCTTATCAATAGGCATAATATGAATACAAATCTAGCTCTCGCAACTGAAAACATAGAGCAGGCGCTTACTAAAATTAGCAAATTGCGGAAAATGGGAATTCGTAACAGACTATGAATGCTGAATAAATGAAAAGGTTTGCGATCCAGGTATCCGCATGGACGAGGAAGGAGGCGTGTCGAGCACCAGATTAATTGATCTAGTGTTTTGAGCTTTCGATGAAGATGGACTCCTGTAAGAGTTCAAAAGCTCAGAACAATGAATCAATTGACCTGGTGCTTGACACGCCTTCTTTCTTGTCCATGGATTATGAATGATTACGGATCGGCGAACGCTAGTTAATCTTCTCAGTAGCACGCAACGGGACAACTTGCCCCTGGCTCAGTGGTTAGGGCGCTAAACGAATAAGCAACACAATTTTGCGAGTTCGAGCGTCTGGGGAAGGGGGGGGGGAGATTGCAAAACCTGGATTTGAATGTGACTGGTTGCTGGCGACTTAGAAGCCAGTAATGGTGACCTCTGTCGCCTTTGCCTTTCTCAACATTTTTTGCTGACTAAGGCTGCTTTTTAACGTCTGCCATTATTAAGGTAAGTAGCGAATAAACGGCTTATAAGTCCACTCTTTCACGTTCCAGGTTGTTGCGGTGAAGACTTACGAGGCTCACAAATTAGCTCTCCAAAGTAAACGGTACGAACAGATGAAGAAATTTCACTTGCAGACCAATGCAGGGCTTCTTTTCAGAATGACTCGAGGCTAAATGACGCTGTGCACAGGAAACATAAGATTGTATGAATCACGGAAGCCGAGATTTCGTAATCAGCAAAGCCGATGGAAGCGTGAATGGTCATTAAAAGGCACATTTTTCCTTGTTTTTCGGTCGTATCGTAATCATACTTTCTGACTAACAGGTGTTTTGGGTGGACTTTAGATATACCTAGAGTGCTTGAGAAAAATGCTTAACAAACAAAGTCAAGAGCTCAGACCTTGTACTGTGCAACGTGTAACATCTAAATTCCCGACAAAATCGAATTTAAATAGCAACGGTACAGAAAAAAAAACATGATCCATCGGTTTTTCTTTAAGGAGTCACTCTAGAACCGTTCTGGATCAGCGTATTTGCTTCACTATAAATAATCTGACGAGCTTGAAGCTATAATGGAGCGCTAAAAGTTGTGGCTTTGAAGGTTGCCAACTGACGTGCAACCCGTGCCGCGCAGTCGGTCCGGTGTGTGTTCTGTTATTTGGAGTGGCTGATTTCAGTGGTTCTCTTACACTGCGGTCGTTATGACATTCACACTCAGCAGGGATCCAAGCCGGCCCATTCGTTGCTGTGGTTTTGTTTCTTGATCGTGTTGGTTTACAGTGTGAGGAGTTAAGCTCTCTCCCGTCTCCAGTCTTCTTGACGTTGTCGAGATGGGGGAGGAGCGATTATATTTGATGCTATGCAGGTTTACTATCACTTACAACTTTATCCATCTTTATGTCACCGTCCCTGAAGCATCCTGTAAAGGAACATATGGTGGAAATAATTGAAACCGATGGTGTGATATTCACAACCGTTCTATGCTGGTGACCTAAAGCGACGAGATCAAAAACGTAAGGCGAGAGCTAAATTTGACATATTTTTATAATGCTGTAAGAAATAGGATGGTTAAGATAAATGCATTGTCCTCGGTCTACCAAACGTTGGATGTGTCACCATAAAAACACACTGCCTAAAAGAAGAGAAATAAAAAATGAGGCTAGTTGACCAAACATCTGATCATTGTCGCATAAAAGAAGAATAAGAACGGCAGTTGCATTACTCTGAGCTTTCAAGGGGTAAGAGAAAAACAATAGCATTTTCGACCTAATGTAAGCACTTAGTGTCAGAATCTGAAACATGTTGAGACGTTTCTCACATCAAAACTTGCTAGGGAGACCTCTGTGGGAATTTTCGCATAGTCTTGATAGCTGATCTTTATCCTAGACTTAAACGTTCACCGTAAGACTATCTGAGGTAGTCATAGTATAGCCATTTTTGGCGTAAACTATGATCAGACGCAATGCTAGGCTGTCCTGGTGACTCTTCACCAAGGTTTGTTTTTCAGGTTCTGTAAAAACAAGTTTCCAGTCGGACCTTTTTGCAGAGTTGAAGAAAGCAACAACAACCTCGAGTGCCTAGGGCGATCACGCGCATTTATTGCTGCGGTAAATAGCCCTATCAACAGACCGCCTCATGGATCCCAAATGAAATGTGAGCTCAGTAAATATGCCCCGACTAATTCTAGGGAAGAGATTACTCACCCCCCAAATATGACCCACTTTTAGTTCAGTTTAGAAGTAAAGTGGTTTGCGAGGACAAATCTTATCCCGAGGCAAGAAAACCCACAGTGTTGCACCAGAACACCACTGAGTCGGCAATATTTTCGGCTTAGGCAGTTGAAGCTGAAATCAACCTTTCATACAGGCAATACTGATGGTTTTTCGAGCCTACGGTATGTTCTTTTTTGGTGGGGTCATTCTCACTTACCTCAGATTCGTCCAAAAATGCTTATTCTTGGGTGCATTTAATGTGTTGACTTTCTTGGCAGAAAATTGCACCGTCGTCGTCCAATTCTCTGCCTGAATTAAGGCTCACGAATTAAGGCGAATATTCGCATTCTAGGTGTGTTCATAGGTCGAGAAGAAGAAGAAGACGTATCAATCGCAGGAATCATGGTTGTATTCGTCTGAGCTATTGAATTCTTACTGGAGTCCGCCATCGATGATAAAAAAATGAACGAAAATCAAGCAACAATTATATCGGGTAGGCGCCAATCAACCACCAGTGACGTCAGTCCGGAGACGCATGCGCAGGGCTTCGTATGCTGGCGCCAGATCGATAAATTAATTGACTAAGTTCTCATCTGAGGCTCAAGATTCAATCAATACTCAGCCAGTCTTGCTGTTGATGTGGGCTTTTATCTCTGCCGCTGGGAAGTTAAACTAATGATGCTTTTTGTAGGTGGGGACAGCCACATTTGATAATGTGTCACCACGTCTAACAGCCAGCTTATGTTCGTATATGCGCGAACCAAGCATGCGTCAAATATGTCCCGTATAAATTCGAGGGCAGTTTAGGCGTGGTAAGTGATACACCACACCGACTGCTCATTCGGAGTCAATTGATCCTTAATTTTAATTACTCGGCTGCGTGTGGTAGTCTTGGGACGCTTTGCAATTACGACGCCTAGTCACGCAGCGATGCGCTCGGTCACTTCCGACACATCCTTGAATATGGCAGCGTATGCCATATCATACGAGCTGGTTCTAGTTGAGTCCTCTGAAGGCGATCACGTAGGCATCGGCTTATGGAGGCCTTCAGATAGCCGTTCCGCATAAACTGGTCAGGGAGATGTT